CATCTCGATTTTGGTGATTGAAACAATCTATAACATGCAAAGAAAATAATGTATCTCTGACGTGTTATTATTTATTTTATATTTATAAAATTATAAATATATTTATAAATTTACGTATTACAAAAAATACAAAGTTATATTTTTGAAATTTATTAAATATAGTTGATATATTCAATATATTTGATATATTTTACTTATATGTCTGTTTTAAATTTATAAACTATGTTTATAGTTTCATAACATAAAACAATTTAAAAAATTGGCAACTGACTCTTCAATTCAGAGACAAAATTTGTCAATAAGTTATTCAACAGAATATTTTACTATAATTTTTATTTCTTGTATTCTACGTTTAGCTTGTTCGTACGTGTAACTTGTACATTTATTGAACTTTTGGTAATTTAAATTTATTGACTACTTAGTTATCATTATATTATTAGAGGTTTCCAAACTATAATACTAATGTAATAATAATTGTTGATAAAATACGAGAATATCAATTTAAATTTTCTAATTATATTAACTTATAGAATTGATAATCCTTTCAATATAATAAAAAGTTAATATTATTATTAAATTTATTATTAAAATTTATCTTTCATTAATTAATATGCATGCTGTAACAGATGTAAGACGATTTCTGTATACAATTAAAAAATGTTCATTGAAAACTCTTATCTTATTTGTTTCTTTTATTCAGTAATTTTTTATTTGTTTGTTTAATACAAGTGTAATACAGGGGAATAATAATTTAACATTATAAATTATGAAAATTTATCAGTAATTATGCTGCTGGTTAAGCACTTTTGTCTGCTAATTTTGTAAGCTAAGAATATATAAATATATTGCATAACATACGGACAAAATATTTTATAGATACATATAAAAGTGTACTTTCATATTTCTGCAATCAACATAAACACACTGAAAGAAAGGTGTGTGATATTTAGATTATAATAGCATTCTAATATAATTATAATCGCGATACTTATGTTTTTAAAAATTGTTAGTAATAGGTTAGTAATATAATAATCTCATATGTATAGTATTGCCAAAAATAACCAACCACATAGTTAGAACATCTATTAAAATATTTGTGTTGCCAAAAAGCAATATAAATAATGTTGAGATATTTCAATACACAGGGTGTCTGTGTCATAACGTGTCTCACCGAAAAGATACAAGTAGATTTCGTTATTCTGAACAAAAAAGTTCACTATCATTTTGCAAACAACCACGTAAAATTTTGAGTAATTAATTAAAAAAAATTGGCCAATAAGCGCGCGATCGGGCAGTGGGCTGACCGTAGCGGCGGTGGCGATAACGCGCGCCGTTGTTGACACATCTGGGCGTACGGCCCATCGCCTGCCCGAAACGCGCGACTGCTGCTCGCGACGAATCGGGCGGAAGACGGCACAAAAAGGCGACGCATAAACAATAACTTTTCGTCTCGCGCGCGCTGTCGTGTCCGAGATCGCGCGCTTATTGGCCAATCTTTTTTAATTAATTACTCGAAATTTTACGTGGTTGTTTGCAAAATGGTATAGGACTTTTTTGTATATTTGAACATTGTTAATTTATAATTCTCACATAAATAATATGCACACCTTTAATTGTGATACTATTTTAATATTAACATCACAATCAATCATCTTATTACACAAATTTAAAGAATATGTACTAAGGATGATTAAATATCAATCGAAACGTTTATGATATCACTAAATAAAGAAGATTTTGAAGCAATTCGATTCTGCATCAGTTCTTTATCTCCATTTCTTTTTCAATTTTTAATATAAATAATGATTACTGCTATTTTTCTTTTCTCTCAGTGTATAAATTGCATTTATCACAATATCAATAAATTCGGCATTACAAGGATTTCTTTGATATAGTAATTATTTAAGGTACAATTAATTAAATATATAATATTTCTTTAAACATTATTTGTTTTAAGGATCAGTTGTAACATGTCTTATACAAAGTGCCACTACTATGCAAAGTGGCCGTGAGATGTCACGATATCTCTCGATATCTGTAGAATAAACTTGACCGACGTATCAATATTTTCATTTAAAAGAAAAACTATATCATGTTTCTTCTTTTATTTTCTTTTATAAAACACTTTTCGGTATAAAGGCTCCTATATGTAAGACTCGTATTCAGTTATCTGCGGCTAGTCAGACACAATGTCACGACTTATCTTAACGAAAGACAATGTGTGGAATTATTTTGAAAGAATTCACAAAGAGAAATTTCGAGCAAAGTGCAGGGACTGCAAAGAAAGTTTCCAATACTTCGACAATAGTCAATTTCTATCGCATTTACGTTCAGAAAAACATATAAAATATTTTAAAAAAGCAGCAAACGAAAAGTTAGAAGAAAACTCGTATATATATTATAATTCATTATTTAAAGCATGTGACGTTTGTCAAATGCATGTTTCGTATGAAAATTTTGGCAACCACATAAAATTGCATTCTCCAGAACAATTGGCATATCATGAAGCAAAGAGGACTAGAGACAAATGTTACACGCAACATGGTAATTTTGGGATGATGTGCATAGTGAATGATTGCTTTGACTATATAAGAATTCAAATTGCACAATCATTAAAATCGCATATTGCAAAGCACGAATTGGAAAATATGCGTATGCCAACTAAGGTCACAAATAAGGAACAACTATTGCACAATTACACATTACACACGCCTCATTTTCAAGCAAAATGCAACTTTTGCGACAATTTTCAAGAATCTTATATCGACATTACAAAGTTTAATCAACATTTAAAAGGACATCATATCGAAGTTTCAATATACGAAAAAATGTTGACAGATTACCCATGGATACATTTCAAGTATTATTCCGAAAATAATTTACAATGTTTTCACTGCAAAAATTTGCATACTGAAGTGATAGATAAAACATCGTTACAAATACATATGTCTTTGTACCATGAGAAATTTGAGAATACACCTTTTTATAACCAAAACGTCAATGATTGGGCCTGGAAATACTGCGACATCAGCGGAGATTTTCAAGTGCGATGTCATCTTTGTTCCGCCGAAAAGGAACTTGGTATTGAATTAACAAAATTAAACGATCATATTGTAAATACACATCTGAAGAACCCACCAAGTACGAAAAGAAGGTATGAAATAGCTGGAAAGTCAACCACATAAGAAAAAAAGTAAGGAAAAAAGTAAGTGACAGTAAGTTTTATTGTTAATACAATTATATACGTGCATATAATTAATTTTAACTTTGTCGAGTCGAGTTTTAGTAGAACAAATGCAAACAATAGTCAGATAAGATGTTTCACAAGAAAATATTTATAAATTTTATATAGGTTTATCGTAAGGTGAATGATGTTAACGACGATAATATCACGACAACCAGGCACCATGACAAAAGGCAATCTTGACTTTGGTAATTTAAACAATTTATAATGCACAGAAAATAATGTATCTTTGACGTGTAATAATTCGTTTTATGTTTATAAAATTATAAATATGTTTATAAATTTACGTATTACAAAAAATATAAAGTTACATTTTTGAAATTTATTAAATATAGTTGATATATTCAATATATTTGATATATTTTACTTATATGTAGTCTGTTTTAAATTTATAAACTATATTTATAGTTTCACAAGATAAAACAATTTAAAAAATTAGCAATTAACTCTTCAGTTCAGGGACAAAATTTGTCAACGAGTTATTCAGCACAATATTTTACTATAATTTTTATTTCTTGTATTTCTACGTTTAGCTTGTTCGTACGTGTAACTTGTACATTTATTGTACTTAGCAAATGTATAAATAATGTATCAATTTTCTAAATTACTATTGCAAACATCTATGAAATTGCGTTATTTTATTATTCTAATATTATGCTTATATAAAAATTTTTGGATTACTCACTTGATGCTATCAATGCTTTTATGATGTTCAATTTGCGGTATTTAATTTTGGATATGGAAGTAACGCATTTTTGAAGTTGCATATAATAATTTAGTATAATTAAGTATAATTAAAGACTGAGATGAATATTAATAAATGGTATGTATTAATAATTGTTACTATTAATAATTGTTCTTCTTAAAATACATACACATCAAAATATTCATTTAAAAAATAGTCGTTTTATTTAATTATTCTATACAAATATTTGGTATCCTAGAGAATAAGAAAAACTTTTTTAAATGGAAAAATTTTGGCCCACATATAAATTTAAGTAGCATTAATGCCATGATGAATCCGAATTCCATAATTGTGTTAGATGGGTATAGTATAGTCCTGCTAATATCAACTGTAAAGACATTTTCATCCGGTCTATGTCTGTGCTGACAGCATAGACATTTCTCTCGCAGATGATAAATTGATCTTAGAATATCATTGAAACGTTCTCTCAACATTGTGCCGATTAGATATTCCGTCAATTTTTTTTCTGAAAAATAAATATGTACATATTGCCTGTTTATTACAGTTCATCAATATTCTATCATATTTTTACAGTAGTTTGTCAGATTGGCAGCATGGTTATAGCTTCAAATGCTGCAACGTGCTATTTCGGTAACACATCCAACTTCGTCGTTCTCGGTACTAAACGGCAAACAATAATCGTAACGGCAAAGATACTAATTAATTGGATACCAGGCGCGATAAATCGCGCCACACAAAATCCTATGCAAAATAGCGACGAAAATTTACCCGATAGCTCGCCTCATAGGCAGCGACTACCGCAGGAAAAAATAATAAATATGTATATTTACGTGCACAGTACAACATTCGAATGTACTAAAAATATGTTATTATAAAAAATTCCATTTATAATAATATAATTAAATAATGTTATTACATACTAAATATTACATCGTTTCGGTAAATTTCGTTTTACATTTGATTTTAAATTTACATTACTTATAATTTAATCTGCTAGTTTTAAAAAAAAATTCTAATTGTAAGAAAGATTTGATAATAATAAAACAAGTATTTATTATAAACGATTTTTATTATTTAGCGCCAAATCTAATCAAAATCTGAATAATGTTGCTACAATTATTTCTTCGAGCTATCATCAGTGGAGTGATCCCACAGGAAGCTTCGCAATTCACATCAATCAAGTGATGTTTCAAAATGTATTCTACAGCTTTCACATTGCCAGCTAGCGCGGCAACATGCAAGATAGTCTGATTAATATTATTTACTAGACTGACATTAGCGCCCAAATGTATGAGACATATCGCTGCATTCATATTTTCATGTTTCACAGCTTCATGAAGCGGCGAGGAGCCTGCAGAGTCTTGTGCGTTCAGGAGGTTCGTATTTGATGCAGTGAGTAAATTAATCACTTTTTGGTGCCCGTGAAATGCTGCCAACAAAAGAATTGAGAAGAATCACTATATGTAAAATAATATTAATTTCTAATTTTTTAGAATTTAAAGATTTCAATAATATTAATCTATTCTAAAATAAACATAAAAAATAATATAAAAATAGTGGCAAAGAGAAATATAGTTTAGTATACTACTAAACTGTATTTGAAAAATTTATACCAAAAAATAAATTGAAGAAATATTTAAAATATTATGTGGACCACCCTGTATAATAACTAATAAAGTTTTGACTTTTGAGCAAAGGGTTTTACAGTGTTTCTGTTACACTTCAAAAAGAATTTTTGCAGTTAAGGAGAGTCATCCCGTGCAGTTATCTCGGAGTCCTAAAAAAATAATTTGTATAAACCAACGCATGTCGGTAAAATTTCCAATTTTTTTCTTTTTTTGGTTTTAATTTGACCAGCCGCCGAACAATTAGCATGTGTACTTTACTCACACAAAAGGATTTGTGATTTTATAAAAACAATAATAAATAACTTTTTTTTTCAGGTACCGACCTGTTTTATCTTCTATTTTTCGTAAAATTCTTTTTTTGGCTACGTAAAATAAAAAATCCTTTCAAATCAACCGTTTTCTATACTATTAGCATACAAACTTTAATTATAAAAAAGGATTTTTTATTCCACGTAGCCAAAAAAAAAAAATTTCACAAAAAATAAAAGTCGGTAAAACAGGACTCGAGGATTCCTTTAAACGCTGGGATAATCGCTCTCTCTCTCTCTCTCTCAATAGAATTGTTTTTCAAGTACTTTCAAGTACTTATAATGTTTTAAATATAGGTATGTGATTACCGGCAATGTGCAATGCGTTGCGACCATTGTTGCTTCGATCATCAATGCATTTCGGCGAATGCTTCAATAATAAATTGACCACATTCTCGTCACCAACTCGACAAGCGATGAGCAAAGGAGTCCAGCCATCCTTGTTACGCAAATGTGCGTTAGCGTTAGCGGCTAAAAGGGCACTGATGCATTGACATGCAGCATGACCACTTTTAGTACACGCAAGCATCAGAGGTGTCCAATCACCACGCTTTAAAGCATCCACCAATGCACCTTTATGGGTTGAACAAAGTATATATGTATAGTATATTAATACCAAGCAAATCTATACTTTATATATTTTAATTTGATATTATTTAATATAATAATATAATTTGGCATTAATTAACAAGATAAAATTAATGAGTTAATTTTAAAATACATGATATAAGTAAGGTAATTTTTAATTTTGAATATATTCTCCAAAATAAATAAATTAGATAAAATAAAAAAAATGCTAAAGAATTACTATATTGTGTGTGTACCTAATTAAAAGGATTCTGTTTTACCGAGTCGTCTGTTTTACCGATTTCTTTTAAATACATCTTACTTTTTTTGGCTGTGTAGAATGAAAAATTCTTTCAAATTGACCGTCCGCACTGTATTAGCATATGTACTTTAATTACAGAAAAGGATTTTTCATTTTATACTGCCAAAAAAAAGTAAAGTGCATTTTTAAAAAGTTGGTAAAACAGACGACTCCCCTTAAGAGCGAGGGTGTTTACGATAATTCAAGTTCGAGTTAGTTTCACTAGGACCGACAATGAGATATACATAACCATCTAGAACCTTTATGATTCATGACAACTCAACGCTGTCTTGTATTGCTTGAGTTAAATTCATTGAATTTGTTGAGTTTAATAAATATAATTATATACATATAT